AACCTTGAAGCAGTGTCAAGAATTCCCAATTTTCATCTTTTCTAAGATTGTACAATTGATCTCTAGATTGGTAGTCATAACACTTACACGCAGTCCAATCATAGCTGGTTGGTAACATTGCTAAAAACAGAACCCGGATAGCTGAGAGTTTATTACAAAACTCATCCACTTAGATTGCGTGTGTCACGCGAAGATAATAATATACCTTATTCCAACAGAATTAGGTCTACTTTCGCACAAAATTTGACATTTACAATTACGTGCAATTAAAGATAGGTGTATTTAGGATTGCAGATTGTAATGTAATTATGTTTATCTCAATTGAAATAGTGTAATAACACTTTATAATAACCTTTTCTGTGTAATTTTGTAGTTCATTAAACGTATATTTAGGGCCTTTCCCACCTCTGGTTAATAGGTTAAAAATGACGTCATTGTCAGAAAGGTAACATAATGCGATATTACCATCACATATTTTATACGTTTTTTTATAACATAAGGTGGCAAACGAGCAAGCGGCCACTTGAATCCGCCAAAATGGCGAAGCGACCGCTGCCCATAGATATCCTCAATAGCGATTGTTATCAGACAATTTACAATTTGGTGGGACAGGCCTTTAAACTTTATAAATACACAAACTAATCAACATTCGGCTTTCAAACAAGTAAACCCTTCTTCACTACCCAGTAAATACGGAAGAAACCAAGGTTTATAATAGTGAAATTCAAAATTATCACAATTTTATGACTAAAGAACAGCGAAAGGCTTGCTTAATTTATAGTCCTAACTCAATAAAGATACTTCCTTTTAAATTTATCGTGTTGGTCCTTCGAGCTGGATATAGAATACATTATACAGTCTAAGATGGCGGACTGTAATAAATCAGGCTTTCTGAGCGACGTTTAAATCAAAAGTCGCCACAACGCCTTAAAGTCTGCATAATGTATATTGAAGACTGCCTTGTTGAAGATAGAGATTTATGAATTCAAATTATTCATTTAACCAAGCAGTTAAAGTATATATAGATTATGTCAAAGAGCATGTAAGGGAATGAAATCAGATATGAAAACTGATAGAAGAGTACATATTGAGCCGAAAGTAAAAAGTTGTGGATGATGACAAGTCAAACATCTCTTTCATTCTCTAACAAAAAGAACAGGATGGCATCTACAAGTGTTGTAACCAAGGGTAAGGTATGAGTCACAATCAGGCGACGCGTCGGTGGCCAAGTTACGCCATCGCTAACTTAATACGATTACCTATGTCAGCTCAAAAGCAGTTTACACGCTTTACTTGCTTCACAGATTATTTACTTTTGCCAACGACGTTGACTGTGCGGAATTAAAAAAAAAAGTAAGTAAGCTATGTGTTCTTCCAGACTGTGTTCTACATGGTGCTAAATTTTGAGATCAATTAAGCTTAATTAACAGCTGTTTTGAGGATATCCATACTGATATTATAAAGAGCAAAAGGTTTTTATTTTTGTACGTATTGAAATAACTAAAAAACTACTGGGCCGATTTTAAAAATTCTTTCACCGTTAGAAAGATAATTTATCTGTGAGTAACATATAGGCTTACGAGAACAAAGTTGCGAGAGCTAGTCACCAATGACAAACTATGTTATCTCTGAGTAAAATAGACTACTCTAATTACTATTGTTTTTACTTCCACAGGGATGAAGTCACTAGCTACAGCTAGTATAGTAACAAACATGCAAACATTCAAACTTTCGCATTTATATTAAAGTATACTAGCTTTTCCCGTGCGACTTCATCCGCATAAAATTGTTAAAATACTATTTTATTGTTTTCATTTGTCAAATTATCAATTGCAAATGTCAAAATGACATGACATGACAAACCATGGTAACCTTGATGTTGGCAACAACTTATGGTCTCTTTCCCGCATTAGGGTTTTTATCCAAAATCCCCCTAAGTTTCATGGTGTTAAAACATATAGCCTAAAGCAAATTATTCAAAAACATGCTGTAATTGCTGACATCTTAGGCAACAAATAAGTGTGTGTTTACGCTTTATTTTAATAGTATAGATAAAGATAGAAGTATAGATTAGAGTATTTGACATGTGTGACGCACAGTCATCCTCAGCTGGCGCGTCAATTGATTTATTTTGAGATACAGTTGTTCAAGCACCGATTTAAAAAACCACCTGTTTATTTATTTGCCTTTTTCATTAACAGCTGATTGATTTTTACTAATATTATAAATGCGAAAGTTTAGATGGATGGATATCTGTTAGAGTTTGTAGATGTAGAGGATAGCTAGGAAGAACACATAAGCTACTTTAAAAAAAACATGGTTGGAGTTCCGGCAAAAGCTAGTCTATACTAATATTATAAAGAGGAAAGATTTGTATTTTTGTATGTATTGAAATAACTCAAAAACTTCTGAGCTGCTTTATTTTTGTATTCCACGCGGTAAAAGTCGCGAGCAACAGCTAGTATGAAATAAAAGCAATTGGTCTGTGTTACTATGAATTATGTAAATAATATATAAATGTAAACATTTAAAAAACTTCAGAAATTCATATGTACCTTCTGTTTAAAAAAAAATGCTTCCGATGATGAATATCATATTATTTTTGTTTAAAAGAGACCCTTTCCTTCGAATCCATGGGAACAATAAAGTGTATATGCTTATACCCTAGAAGTCACGATTACTCTGTGATCTATATTATTATAAAGAGGCAAGATTTGTATTTTTGTATGTATTGAAATAATTTAAAACTGCTGGAACAATTTCAAATTCTTTTACCGTTAAAAAGCTATGTTATCCTTGAGCAATAGGCCATGTTTTAACTATTTTTTTTAATTCCACCAAACAGCAAGTTTAAGGAGATTATAATAATGCTTTAATGATTATAGCAGAAAAGATTTAATGATTGTAACTGAGAAAATGTATCATTGAAAAGGCAATATAAACTTCAAACTGAAGAACGATAGTTATGAGTGTGGAGGTACACCGGTAGAGGTAGACCTAGAAAGAGATAGATTGCGTGAAAGGTGACATGATCAAAAAGGGAGTGATGACTGAGATGACCTTTGATAGTTATTTGGAGGACAAAAACCTATTGCGCTGACCCTACGGGAGTAGGATAAGAAGGTTGATGATGAAACTTCAAACTGAGTTTTTCATACATTTTAAGAGATTATTTAACTGTAACAGTAACTTAAATAATTTTGATATAGCAATACATTAATTTTCTTTTCCATTTATCTTCATGCTGTGTCCAAGTCGCTAACTATCTTTATGTGAAATAATTATTCTGGATTATTCTGTTGTTACTAGCAGTTACTTTCACTAAAAAAGTAAACAATTGACAATCAAGCAGTTTTATGGAAATTCAAATAAATTACTACAGGTGTTGACTTGTATTGAATTTATTAAACTTGGTAATTTTGTAGTATTTTGTTTTGATTACAACATGTTTATTTCATTTTAAATATATAGTGCATTTTAACAGGTTATAGAAATATTCTGTGACTACCTAATACCTGACTGTGTTCCCATGAAATTAAAAAAAACTTAATTAGTTGTCTATATCTTCTTCCAGACTGTGTTCTTTATCTATACTAAATATCATTGAGATATGTTGAGTCATTCAAGGGATGTCTTGTAACATCCACCCATCTAAACATTCCCATTGATAATATTATTATTTATTTAAAACTTTTTGCACAAAAATTAAATATTAATAATACAAATGTTAAAGTATACTAATACAAAATATGTGCAAGGGCGGCCTTATTGCTATTAGCAATATCTTACAGGCAACCCAGTGGCACAAGAGAAGCTAGACAACACACAAGGGTATATTAGTGAGATTATCAATGAAAATTTTGATAAAGCAATAAAATGTTCTTAAAAACACTATAGCCATGTTTTAATATTTATTTTATAAACAAAACAAACATCTGCTATCATTAACACAATAATTACATTGTTTCCCACATTTTAATTGAATAAAAATGTATGTATGACAGTCAAGGTTATTGTTTTTGTGTACAACATTGTCAGAATATTAATTTGTCAGCATACCTGTATATTATTGTATCATCCAAATGTTATGTTTGCCAACTTTATCCGCAACGTAAAATATAAATAACCGGAATTATAACTTCAAACACATCAATAATGTTTCACATAGTGCATCATTCACTACGTGAGTTCTAGAAAACAGGTTCCATAAGCGCACAATCAGTCAATTATCTTAATTAAGCGTAAAACTGATTTTAAAATCACAATAGCCAGCGCAAATGCGATGACGATTTTGCGATCTATAAAGACTTGTATGAACCAAATATTTAAAATTATTTAAGTTCAATACCGTCTAATAAATAGTGAACACTATATAGTAATAAAAAAATAATTATACTTACGTAAGACGCCTTAAAATAACAAGATTTTGAACATCATAGACTGATTGATTTGGTACACCGATGTCGATTTTTTCTTCACTAAAAATTCACAAAACGAAAACGTAAACAGCAAATTTTTTAAGCACAATACTAAAATAAATATTTAATACTGTTATCAATTGTACAACATTTTAGTTATAATTGATTTAATTTAGAAAGAAACCCGCGAGATATAAGCACCATTTTGAAAGATTGAATTGAAGAAAGATCGTCAAGGTTTTTCGCTTATGTCAGGCTTTGCGTCATTGCGACAACTGTCGGTTTTTTCAGTTTTAGCTACGGATACCGAGCTTTTGGCCAATACCATGAAAATTAAAAATTGATTGAAAACTTCTTATTAACAAAGTAATTGTTTTAAAAAGTAAAAATAAAAATAGAAATTATTTTTATGGTTAAATCCTACTGTAAATAATTTCATTTTTACGACACTTGAATGTATGATATGAAATGGATGTTTAATTCACTCCGTATTGATGACCTTAACATAAAAGAGTAATATGTAAAATGTTGTTAATTCATGCAAGAAAATAAAACAACTACTTATTAAATCATTATATTCACTATTAAACAAAAACTTCTGTTCCAACACTATCATTAATGTCACTAATCGTCCTCCACGACGCGTACTCTTCTTTTAGTCCTTTCTTTCCTAAATAAAATGGAAAATATTTACTAGTTGATAAGTAAAATATGCCATGTTTGGTCACATCCACCTTCGGTCCCATAAAATTAGACTCCAAAGGGACTCTATCGTAGCATTTCGCGTCTCTAGCTTGTTGAATATTATCGCATTTGATTGCTATAAACTTCGTTGGGTGTTTTAATACTGACAGCCAAAGTGGGAGCACTGTAAAATGACTACAAGTTGTCGTGCAAGGATATAAATTCAAGTCTGAAGGTTGGTACTCCCCACCGTTGACGTAGAAATCTACATGTCCCATTGAAGCCGCCATCCCGAATCCGTCAATATTGGTATGTATGACTTGGACAAAGTCAGCATCAGAGGCGTCTAATCTTTCGTCTTTACTTAGATATCTAAAACAGGGTCCTGCAGGCTCCAAGCCGTAGATTCTGGATATATTTCTTCCAGTTAAGGTTTGGTAATTCTTCGCTATATAACTAGCAGTGTGTGCTCCTAGACTGAAGCCCAAGATTTCGAGTTTCGATGGGTCAAGACCTGCTTCTGTGAGCTCAGCTAGGATTTGAGCGACATGCAAGCCCACAGGCCGCATTAGACGCGTCGATCTTAAAAAAATAATACATAATTAAAACAATTAGTCGTAAAACTGCTGTGGGAGTTGATGTCACTCTTAACATGATTTTTTCATAAAATGATGTAAACGCAAACTTTTACGTTTGTGATTTAAAAATATTCCAGGCTTTATCTTAGTAATATCATAAATACGAAAGTATGGATGGTTGGATGTTTGTTTGAGTTTGTAGCCTAAACGGCTGAACGGATTTTGAAGAAATTTGTCATAGAAGTAAAGCATAGTTTGGAAGAACACATAGACTACTTGCTTTTGTTTCTTTAATTCCACGCGAACGGTGTCGCGGGCGAAAGTTAATATACAATAAATTCTATAAAATGTTTATAACTAACAAAAAATAATGTACAGTTGCGAATCTTTGATTGTCCACCAGTATGACATTGTAGTCCCGAGCCTCGTACTCGTTCGCAAACATTGCTGACATCGGAAAGTTGGTACTGTCAAGATAGCCAATTGCCACCACTATCGTCTTCCTGAAAAACAAACACATTTATAAATAAAATGACTAGAACAAAGAGTCAGAATACGTTACAGGCATCAATATTAATTAAAAATCATAAAATGTAAATCTTACTAATATTATAAATGCGAAAGTTTAGATGGATGGTAAAACTTTTAGGCAGCGAACAGATATTTGTTAGATTTTGCTGTCTATACGGCTGAACGGATCTGGATGAGATTTGGCATAGATGTAGAGCACAGTCTGGAAGAACATATAGGCTACTTACTTTTGTTTTTTTTAATTTCACTCGAAAGTAAGATATAAAAACGATTTCGACTATTGCATATAGCTTTAGCTCTAGCCCCTGGTTGGGGTCGTAGATCAGTTTTACAATGATCAATTACAGTTTAGAACAAAAGACTGTTAACATACAAAACCGATTACCACCTTTTGAAATCTATCCTTGGATCTGAGGCAATTTTCTTGGCATTCCAGTAGTTGTACCGTTGCCTGGTCCCGTTTTTGCCTTGCACCACGAAGAAGAGGTACTTCAGCTGGCTTCGAGGAATGTTAACTGGCTTGGTCGAACCTGGACCTAGGACAGTAGACAGTTATTACGCCGTATTTGTATCTAGGTGAAAAGTTTTTTTTTAATTTCATATTTTTAAAAACTTGTTTTACTCGGGAATTGAGTGTTTTAATTTTATATATCTTTTGCTTTGATCCTTGCAACATCGTTTAAGGCAAAATCGATAAGATATTAAGGTTAAGTTTAAACTTGATGTAAGTGAATGTTGGTAATATTTCCAAGAATAGTTTTAAACGAAAGCATGTACTGGAATTAATGACTATGTCGTCATAGCCTTATAACGCGGACGCTGCCGGGCATAATTACTGGCCAGTGTTCATGACATATAATTTTCTAAAAAAGTAAAAAAGCTGTTACTTTAAATTGTCTATGGTCATTATGATCATGATTTCAAAGAGATTGTTTCGAGTTGAATGTTGGGTAATTCATCGTAAGTAAATTGTTGGATAGTTTTAATCTAACTAGCGTATTTTAAAATAAATTCGGGACTGATTTATTTGAAAATATTTGTATTGAAATTAAGTGTGTTTAAGAGCTTTATCCTGCCAACATACGTCGTTAAGGCAGTAAATTTAAATTTGGCACATTTTAAAAAAAATATTTTTAATTTACCAAACTATAATTTTAAATATCGAATACACACAAATGTTTCGTAAATGTAATGTGGTTTACCTATCTAAGATTATAATGCGTGGTCGTGTCTTGCGAGATGTATTCTTATATGGAAACAGTTTATATGGATTAGGTCAGACATAAGGTCGCAATCATAGTTCGCAATACTAAATACCTTATGAAGGTTATTTTATAAACAAAACGCCATCTTAATTCCATTCCAATTTTAAAAAAGGATATAAAATGTAGATACCTAGTAAAAAATAGAAAAATGTTATTGACATACAAACTGATATGAGTCCTCTGGGATATCCCTCTTCAGATCTTCTGTCACAAACGCACACAGATAAAAAACATAACGCTATTAAATACCGACATATTCCTGTCATTTTCCCGTTAATATTATTTTTAACACATTGATTAAGTTTCCGTGTATGTTCTTGTCAATTTAAATACTTTAATAATAAACGTCCACATCTTTTATAATATTTTGGCTGAAAGCATGTGACCTTGTGCCCGGTGAATGAATGGCGGGAAAGGTTTTTTTAATGTCGCGCGACTTTTTTCACAGACGGCCACAGTTCGACTAAGATATTTGATATTGTAAGACTACATAGCGTAAATCTAAAAGTTGTGAAATTCTAACCTGCCTAGCTTAGCTAAGAATAATGTGGATTGTTCTGGATAAAGGCATGGGAGTGCTGGCCGGTGAACAAGGTGGAGGCCTTATAATTTTTTTCATATCAAAGAGTAAGTATGCTTGTCCGATATGGTAAAATATTTATTGAACTAACAAATCGTTTTAGAGATATTCATGTTGGTTTCTAGAGATTGTAGGCACTTTGGTGTTTTTATATGTTTTTTTTAATAATTTCGGAGGGGCGGAGGCACCGTGGAGGTTATATTTTTAGATTATACTTTTTTTAAACTTATTTAAATTGATGTGATTTAGAATTATGACCTTGTGGTTTCAATTGTAGTACCGTTTTTTTGGTTCTAGTGTTTATTAAAATATTTCTATAAATAATTCATTGTATCTCACGCCTTTCAAATCAACACATAATAATGACGTTTATTTAAAATCTTATATTCGTATGTTGCATTAAAAGTTTCCGTCTATAAGAAAATCAGTCTCTAACAAGACAATTGCAGTTTACTATAACTAACAGACTTACAAAAAAAACGTGGTATACAGCAAACATTAGTACGAATTTTGCTTATACTCAGTTTATTCCTAACATTAACATTATACCGCGTTTATTTTTAAATTTGTACGAGCGGGCGCACACCTTTGACCTAAACAATCGCACAAATGTTGTGCGATTGTCGATTGTTTCGCAGATTATTTAGTAAACAGTTGTTTAGTTGCACAAAGTAATATAAGCTCATAGAAATCAGCGAGACTTAACAGTGTGCGATATTTTAGTCAAAGGTGTGCGAGCATGTTGTGTGTTTGTAGACTAAACTGCTGAATGGATCTCGATTAAATCTGACATAGATGTAGAGGATAGTCTGAAAGACCACATAGTCTACTTACTTTTTTTAATTCAACGCGGACGAGGTCGCGAGCAAAAGCTAGTAAATAATAAAGTACTAACAACGAAAAAAAATTAAAAAAAAATATATCGACGAATTGAATACCTCCTTCTTTTGGGAAGTCGGTCAAAAAGCAGTGTGATAGATACATATGATGTAACTAAAACCAGGTTGATGTCCATAATATCAATCAGCGGTCAGAGTCAAATACGTTTAACCATACAGTGCCTAAATTAATTTTTCGGTGTAAAGTTAAGAAGAAAATTAGTACCGCGCTGTAGAATTGGCGCAACACTAGATTATTGGCGTGTCACATCTCTAACTGACAGCTGTCAATGTCATTAGGAGGATGAATACTCGCGCGCATTCCTGGCGGTTCTGTGTTTAAAATATAGCTAATAACAATTAACTATAATAATTGTTTAAAAGTAATTATTTTACAAAATAAAACATTAATCATGTATTAAATTTTAATTCATCCCATCCAATATCCAGCGGTAAAGGTCCTTGACAATTTTCGCATGGTTTCTTTGATTTACATATTCCATCTTTGCACGGATACTCTCCCTTTCTAGGGTAGTCTGAAGGTATGTCTGGAGTACGCCATGGTCGATGCAATTGAGATAGATATTTTTGTTCTAAATCTTGGATAGATCCACTTGGAAATGCTGCCACGTATAATAAAATTGATAAAATAACCTGCAAAAATGTCAAAATAATAACCTAAAAATTATTTTTCTTAACTAATTTCTGGATTTAAGATTGGTTAAGCGTTTTAGTTTTATAAAAAAAGATAAAGATCTTAGTGATCTCGCTATTTTATCTTGCTAATATTATAAATGTGAAAGTTTGTATGTATTTTGGATGTTATCTCGGAAACTGCTGCATGAATTGGGATGAAAGGTATAGATGTAGAGCACTGTCAAGAAGAACTTTAAAGCTACTAGCTTTCGCCCGCGACTCCTTCCGTGTGGAATTAAAATATAATAGACTGTGAGTTAAAATATAATAGACTTCTTTCAGACTAACTTCTACGTCTATACCAAACTTCATCGAATTCCGTTCAGCCGTTTAGGCAACAAACTCTAACAAACATCCATCCATCTAAACTTTCGCATTTGTAACATTAGTATGATTAAACAAGCTTTTTTTAACGCGGGCGAATTTGCGTGCTAAATTTATTTAGATTTAAGATTAGACAGTATTCATATAGTCTTAAATGTACATTTTATTACTTAAAAAGGGTAATTTTTACATACCATTATGCGCCTCATTGTGTTACTTCCGATGGAATTGTCGGAAAAACAAAACGCTCTCGCCTTTTAAGCGACAGGACTATAACTGTACATTACTCACACAGTTATTAACCCCAATAAAGATTCAATTTAAAACTGCGCACGTAATAATATTTCTTTCCATACATCGCTAGCTGGAAAGTCGAAATAATTGAAGTGCATTTATGTTTTCATCATGTTATGGGATTACCCGGTTATCTATACAGACAAATAAAATAGAAGTGTCTGTATGTAACATGAAAATAAAATAAAATCACGCTAAAGTACTTATCTAGATTAAAAGGCATTGCTTAAATACCACAGAAGACAGAGTCCCAAAAAAATTATTAGCTTTTGTGGGACAAGAAAGATTTTATTTTACCGATAGCAAGGAATATTTAAAAATGTATATCTGTCTGTCTGTTCGCAAGTCTGATAGGGTCTGAGTAAATTCCGATGATTGGACTGATTAGTAGCATATACGATATGATATTTTAAATTGTTTTGATGTTCACTTTTGCAAACTAAAATAATAATTCCAAACAGACGTAGTCGCGGACAACAACTAGTTGTTTATTAAATAGATAACATTAAATTGCAACAGTTATTTCCGATCTGTTTTAATGATTCATTTTTATTATAACTGATGACCAATTTAGTATTTGTTTGGTAAACCGTATCATCATGAGCAATAATAATTTTTTTGTCTGTCTGTCCGCAACCGCGTTTGTTCCGGGTAATCTCTGAAACGGCTAGGTCACTTCGACCAGACTTTCTCTGAAGAGTTGCTGACAAAGACGAGCTACATTTTTATCTTAATATTGCGTGGACAAAGTCGCGGGCAACGGCTAGTGAGCAATAATTGTATTGGTAAATGAAATTGTCTTTGTTCGTAAGTTCAGAGACCTTTTTTTAATTTACAATGAACCCTAACATTTATATGGACAGGATATAATGCGTGATGTTTTGTGTTTATTCAATTTTCGTGTTGAAATTCTGTGGTTTACGAAATAAAAGACGTGCGTGCAGTCCAAGATGTATAATCCGACTAAATACAATTCTTCAATATTCACAGGGTATATTCATATAAGTCGTGTTATAATTATTGCCAGGTAACCTACATTACAAATCATACATATAATAAAATTGGAGTGTCTGTAATATCAAAAGAGAAATTACAGATTTCGGAAAGATATTGCATTTGCGTTGCAAATAACGAAAATCGCCTTTAATTTTTTTTGTCCGGACTTTCGCTGAATGTAAGTTGACACAGACGCATTATAGGCTACTTTTTATATCTTAATATTAGGTGGACAAAGTCGCGGGCAACAACTAATTCAAACTAATAATAGAGATAGATTAAACTGCCAGTATCATCCTGAGACGCATAATTTAGAAGAAACCAAATGCTGCCATAAATAATGGCCTATTTTAGCAAATTGCGATCAACTCAAATCGTATTATAGCACAGAAAATTTATAAAACCGTTAGTACTATTTCAGTAAACAGTTTACTCTTTCCAGTAGCAATTTCCTAACTCCATGTTGCAATGATGTGGATAATCTCTCTAACGATATAATAATGGCTGCCGTACTCCGTGACGAAACTTTATGGTATAACAAAGTTCACACTTAACGACGGCTCGAGATTTGACATTAGGAGCAAGGAAGTGTGTAAAACTGTAAATACATTTACCGCCTCTGCGACTTTGTGTCTGTGTTTTGTGTAGCCTGGATAGCGCGAGCTGCTATAAAGTTTGAATGTTATTATACTTTTGTACGAAGGTCATAGAGTAATGAACAGTATTTAACGGTTATTTTTGTTTTATTACGAACATGTTAATCATAACGGTTGAATCATTGACGCATAAAACTAGTCACGTGATATTAGGTTTTGGATTTATTTTTTTATCGATTACACATTTTTGTCAAAGATTATCTATATCGATAGATTATAAATTATTATACTCACACTAGCATAGAAACACTCGCACACAAATGCGACAAAGAAAAACACTAATAAAAAATAAAACTTTATTAAAAAATATAAAGCGGAAAATTATGACACAAGTAATTATTTCACTTACAAGAATGTCCCAGCAACCTATTTGTAAGAATACTTATAAAAACTTATTATTTATAATTAGTATACCATAAGCTCAGTGTGACGTAATCAGGGTGCCATGTTATGGTGCACGCGTTCTATCCATGAGGTATAAACGAATCTTCATTAACAACTTCCGTCTGTCCGAGGCCTCCGCCACAGAAATTATTACCCACATGACATTGTTCTGTTGTCATTTCTCTGTTCAACGTTAACACCTTTGAAGTGACAATAATATCTGCAAAGCCATCTCTTCGAAAGTGACATAAACTTCCATTAAATGTAATTAGAATGATAGTTAATTTGAGTGCAGTTTTCATGATCTGTAAAGTAAGTGAATTACAATTAAATAGAGCTCTGTTTACAAAGACATTAAATTTACAAGTAGACCTAGAAAGAGATGAATGGATTGCGTGAAAGATGACATGAAAAAGGGAGTGATGACTAAGATGACATATGATAGTTATTGGAAGACGAAAACCCGATGCGCCATTCCTAG